TTAAAAACGCGAAAATACAAATTACAATACTGAATTTTTAATTCGCGTAAATAGGAATCATGATGCATAACTTTTAAATCAGCTAAATACCAAAATTGATGACTGATATTAAAATCGTGCGAATAAGAATCGTGATATTAGCAGATTCTGATGGAGTTCCTAATATTCAAAATGGTTAAAATCAGTGAAATCAAATTAGCAGAAGAATCATAAATTTCTCGCCAATGTGATTTAGCAATAGTTCCAAAATCTCGTCGGATTATAAAGTTTTGATTCGCGAAGTCCGCTAACCAATGGTCTAACAGAATTCTGTGATATTCCCGGAAAAATCACATGCCCTGCTTCTCGTTTTTAGACCTGCCCTGGGTTGAAAGAAAATAAGGTATAAGGAGTGAAAAGGTACTAGAATGACAAAAAATCAGAACATTTTGGCCTAAACCCGTAGTTTCAGAGCAAAGCTAAAAAATCAGAACAAACACGATTTAATTGGAACAGTTGGCAACTAAGCTAGACATGCATCACATATTTAGTTGCGGGCCAATCTCGCTAAGTACTCATTTACACCCAAAATATTCTTTCTTTTACANAAAACAAAATATCAAAAACTAAACTATTGATATAAAAATATCAATTTATAAATGTTTCATGCTGAAAATAATTTTTTGAGCAAACAGTTTTAATTAAATTACTTACTAATAAAGAATATCACATGTTTATAGTAATTAATTCAAGAAAAAACTTACTTCTTACATGAATCATAATACTGGATTTTAAAAATCGAGTGAATATGAATCGTGAAATTGGATTTTAAAAAAGCCAAAATACAAATAACAATACTGAATTTTTAAATTGCGTAAATAGGAATCATGATGCATAACTTTTAAATCACGAGAATATAAATCACATCGCATAACTTTTAAATTAGCTAAATATCAAAATTGATGATTGATATTAAAATCGTCTGAATGAGAATCGTGATATTAGCAGATTCCGATGGAGTTCCTAATACTCAGTATGGCGAAAATCAGCCAAATCAAAGGAATCAAATTGGCAGAAGAATCATAAACGTCTCGTCAATGTGATTTAGCAATAGTTTCAAAATCTCGNATAAAAATTACCGATGGAGTTCCTAACATTCAGTATGGCGAAAATCAGCCAAATCAAAGGAAACAAATTGGCAGAAGAATCATAAACGTCCCGTCAATGTGATTTAGCAATAGTTTCAAAATCTCGTCGGATTATAAAGCTTTGATTCGCGTTAACCAATGGTCTAACAGAATTCCGTGATATTTGCCGAAAAATCACATGCCCTGCTTCTCATTTTTAGACCTGCCCTGGGTTGAAAGAAATAAGGTATAAGGAGTGAAAAGGCACTAGAATGTCGAAAAATCAGAACATTTTGGCCTAAAACTGTAGTTTCAAAACAAAACTAAAAAATCAGAACAAACGCGATTTAATCGGAACAGTTGGCAACTATGCTAGACATGCATCACATATTTAGTTGTGGACCAATCTCGCTAAATATTCAGTTATGCCGAAAAAATTCTTTCTTTTCCATTAATAAAATGTTTCAAATGAATATTAAAAGAATTAATACTAAAAAGTATAATTAGAGTCATGCATGATAGTAGTTTTCTTAATATGTCATGTCAAATTAAGTCCTTTTTCAAGTAAAAACAGACAATGCTGGTATTTAAGCACCTTAAATCATTCACTTTTTTTCATTTGGTTTGAACTTTTTTTTTTTAAATTTACTGAAATAAATATTTTTATGAAATTTTTATAGAATAAAAACACAATTATGTTCAGAAGACTTATAATTTTCAAANTATTAGCAGATTCCGATGGAGTTCCTAATATTCAGAACGGCGAAAATCAGCCAAATCAAAGGAATCAAATTGGCAGAAGAATCATAAACGTCTCGTCAATGTGATTTAGCAATAGTTTCAAAATCTCGTCGGATTATAAAACTTTGATTCGCGAAGCGCGCTAACCAATGGTCTAACAGAATTCCGTGATATTTGCGGAAAAATCACATGCCCTGCTTCTCGTTTTTAGACCTGCCCTGGGTTGAAAGAAAATTGGTATAAGGAGTGAAAAAGCACTAGAATGTCGAAAAATCAGAACATTTTGGCCTAAAACCGTAGTTTCAAAACAAAGATAAAAAATCAGAACAAACGCGATTTAATCGTAAAAGTTGGCAACTATGCTAGACATGCATCACATATTTAGTTGTGGACCAATCTCGCTAAATATTCAGTTATGCCGAAAAAATTCTTTCTTTTCCATTAATAAAATGTTTCAAATGAATAGTAAAAGAATTAATACTAAAAAGTATAATTAGAGTTATGCGTGATAGTAGTTTTCTTAACATGTCATGTCAAATTAAGTCCTATTTCAAGTAAAAACAGACAATGCTGATATTTAAGCACCTTAAATCATTCACTTTTTAACATTTGGCTTAACTTTTTTTTTTAAATTTATTGAAATAAATATTGTTATGAAATTTTTATAGAATAAAAACACAATTATGTTCAGAAGATTTATAATTTTCAAACCAATGTTTTTCAGTGAAACTTATTAATAAAAGGCTCTAAAACCATTTTTTAAGGGTATCAACACATTCCTTAGGCAGAAAATTGATAAGGTTACTTAATTAATAAATACTGGTAAATTATTTAATTTTTAATCATTTATAGACATTTACTTGTAATATTTTTTATTATCCTCTATCATTCTTAATATTACTCTCTACTATTACTATGANTTTTCAGTGAAACTTATTAATAAAAGGCTCTAAAACCATTTTTTAAGGGTATCAACACATTCCTTAGGCAGAAAATTGATAAGGTTACTTAATTAATAAATACTGGTAAATTATTTAATTTTTAATCATTTATAGACATTCACTTGTTATATTTTTTTATTATCCTCTATCATTCTTAATATTACTCTCTACTATCATTATGATTTGATATTTTATTTTTATTGTAAATTAACAGTTTAAAACAAAACAGTATTCTTTATTATTAGTGGCATTTTCTTATCCTGCAATATCACCTTATCATATTATGTTTATGGTACCTCAACTTTTATAATGAGGATTACATAAAATTATTTCCAGCCAAAACTGTTATTAGGAATTAACTTTACATAGGATTACTAAACAATCTGATGAAAAACATGAACTAATTTTACTACTAAAAGTTAAACAGAAATTTTAAAAGAAGAAGAAACATTTTAAGTTGCAATGTTAACTGAATAAAATGATTATTAAAATCTAAGTTAGAATTTTATTCTAATCAACATTTATAACAAAAGGTTTGGGATAGATTTTAGACAAAATGCAGAATATATTAATGAAAGAACCAGTATATGAATGAAATATGCTTACCCCCCTTGTCTGTAGCCCCCTCAGACACACCCTTTCTTGTCTCTCTTAAATGCTCTACCATAGTCTAATTCTAGGTGATAAAAGATCAACTTTTTGTTTTAAAAAATTCAACTGAAAAAATTGTTCCCATCAACTATAGTGATGCTGAAAAATTAAATATTTTTAAAAACCTTGTACCAAAATTAAGTACTTTTAATAGCCCTTATTTTCCAAAATAAAAATTAAGCAGTTTTTAAGGAGTGTGGGAACCTTGTAATAAGGAGGTCACCCAAGTTTGCACAACACTTGGGTTATCTGTATATGTAATAAAGTAATTTACAAGTTTTATATTATTTAGAACTTACTGTAGAGGTATTCAGAGTATTCTTCATCCTCTCCCAGACTCTTTCCTGATTAATCTCAAGTTGATCATCTTTTTCCAGCAAAACAATTTAATTATATGTGAATTATTGCAAGAAGCAGCACTGTGAAGATGAGTCCTACAAGTAATTAATATTATGATATAAAGATTGATAAGTATAAAAGAGATTCAAAAAATCAAAACAAATTAAAACAATGAAAATAATACATAAGCATCAAAACTATGATGAAGCATCATATTTGGTAAAAAGCACATTACAGAAAAACATTACAAATAGGCATAAAAAAAATTTTGAAAAAAAATATAACTGAATTTAAAAAAATAAAAAGAGCAGATTCCACACTATTTGTAACGTTTGTTTCTGCAATGTTTTCTGCATTGTACTTTGCATTAAAGATGATTTAACATAACTGTAGACAATTGTGTACTCTAATTGAAACTTGCATAAAATTTTTAATTTGTAACATGTATTTTTGATAGTTATACTATTTACAATATTTAAACAAATCTAACAGAATTAAAAAATGTCATCAAGCTCTCTGTTAGCAGTGTTTAAACCCCTCTCTAAAAAGTATTTAAGAGTAATTTTAAAATATATTTTAAATGTTTCCTTGAATAACAGTTTAAGAATCTACCAGTTATTTAAAATTCAACTAAAATTTACTGCAAACATAGAAAATAAGAAGCTTTTGATAAATGTGAAACTTTACAGCTTGCTGGTAAATATATATATATTCAAATATTAAAGTGTCAATATAAAAAGGACATTCTTAGTGAAAAGAAAAAGGAATAGCAAATCTAAAAACATTATTAGAGGTCAATGTATTAAGAATCTTATTTTAAGAATCTTGAGAAAATTATATATATCAAAAACTATGGTTCTATATTCATCAAAATACTATATAATTTTTTAATAACCATATTAAGAAAAATATATGACCATATTAAGGAAAATGTATGTGACCATATTAAGAAAAATACATGAACTTTTAATTTAAGAAATAACAAATAAATAACCTCTTCAAAACCTGAAAGATAAATAAAAGTCTTCAAAACACACGTTAGCAATTCCAACTTCTAAGTTAACTCTTGTTAAATTTTAGATAAAAGTTAGAAAAAATATTCCACTTGATAGAAATATTTATTATAAACAAATTATTGTCAAAATGTACAAGATTAAATAAATAAGTTTACTTACAGTATAAAATAAAAATTTTCAACAACATCTAAGGAATAAATGAATTTTTGAAATAAAATTAAAAGTTTTTAGTAACACAAACTACAAGATATATTTCAAAGTAATAAAAGAAAACAAAAACAACAAAGTAATTCAAATAGCAGTATTGAATTGCTTATCCACATACACAAAAGATATACTTAGATAATAAAACGGACAAAATCTAAAAATATTTAAATTAGACAGCACAAAAAATATCCTTATAATAAATACCATTCTTGAATTTCAAAAATATCTTTCTGAGACAAACTAAAAAGCGTAGTATAGTTTTAAAGCAGTCTTATCGATATGTTATCAGTTCATAATATACTGAACAAAATTAATTTAATTCTATTCAAAGAGGATTAAACATTTTAGAGAATGCTTGCAATTTTAATTGGGATTTTTGGTGAAACCCAGAAAAGTAAGCTTATGCCCAAATATTGTTGTTTAGTTCTCACAAGCGATTGCTTGCAAACAAGTTTGTATCTAACAAGGGTGGAACATGTGGTTAAGATAGGGCACAAATTAAACATGTGATAATATTTAAGAATAGCCAAGACACGTTATTGGTCGAAAATGACATCACAATTTGTGGGAAGGGAGATGGTGTGTATTGCATGAGGCAATTTTGAAAAATTGTTGAAAACTTTTTCTTAAGATAAGTTTTTTTATTTTTTTTATTTAATCATTAATAATTGATTTCTTATTAGTTTCAAGAAATATAACTTCATTATTTTCAAATGCGTATTTCAGTTTATTTTAAAACTAAGCTAATATTGGTTTAGTTTAATTTTTTTTTTCTTTTGTGGTGTAACAGTTAGGCTGTTCACCTTCTACCTGTGAGGTCAGGAGTTCAATTCAAATTTCTTTATCTAAAAAGGTTAATAACCATTTAATAAGTTTTATTCAATTTATAAATTATAATTTTTTTAATCAAAATAAATTCTTTTAAAAAATTAAAATTTTACGACAAAAATTTATAAATGTTTTATTTTTCTTATTTTTTAATCAAAATATTTGAATTAATTTTTAACTAATTATAACATTTTAATGCAAATTTTAAATTACAAAATTTCTCAACTTAATTTTGTAATTTAAAAAAAATAACAACAAAATTTTAACTTATATTACACATTTTTTAATTAATCCATATATTTTAATAAGATAAAATTAAATAGTAGTTACTGATATTTTTTGTTTTTAAAATAATTTATAAATTGAATAAAACATGTTGAATAGTTCATTTTTAGAAAAGAAAGTTAAAGATAATAAATATTCTATTGAAACCCGAACCTCTCAACAGAAAATGGAAAGTCTAAATGTTGCACCACAACTGCAGGCGAGTTACGAAGTTTTTCTTAATTTAAAGGTAAATGAACTGAAACCTTAAAGGGTAATATTTTACCCTTGGGGCATTTCCTTGTAAAACATGCACAATCTATATAACTTTTTACATTAGGCATTTTTGTGTGACATAGTTGTAAAATTATTTTTGAATTATTTGCTTTATACTTTTATCCTATCTTGAAAATAAGTGAATATGAATTATCAATCAAATATAAAATAGTGCCATTTACAATTAAAGCAAAATATATATACATAAAAAAATAAGAATTTGGAAGTTATAATATGATGCAATTTTTCGTCAATTAAAAATACTTAAGAAAATTGGAGTAACTTATAAACTATATACAAATTGAGCAATCAATTATGAATATAAGAAATTATGAAGATAAAAGATTTATGAATGAACAGTCTCAATTATAAGAGAATTAAACTCAAAGCAATAACTCCCAACTTAACTGAATGAATCATTTCAATTAGATGTATTTTGCAGTTTCATTGTCAATATTTTATATATTTACAGAAACCGAGAAAATGCTAATCATGACAAAAACATTCATAAAAATTCTGCAAAATTAAAAATTTATTTTTAATTCCACTTATTTCCCTATATATTAGCATTCCTTAATTCCCAAAGAAAAGGAAGAATCGCTTAATATTCAATTTTTATATTAAATCCAAATTCATAAAATGATAAAAAAAAGTTAAATGACGTTAATGCAATGATTATATTTAAACTTTGAAAAAAAAAATGCATACCGAATGGTAACTAACTTTATACTTTTATCCTATCTTACGAATTGGAGAATATGAATTATCAATCAAATATAAAATAGTACTTACAATTAAAGCAAAATATATATACATAAAAAATAAGAATTCGGAAGTTATAATATGATGCAATTTTTCGTCAAATAAAATTACTTAAGAAAATTGGAGTAATTTACAAACTATATACAAATTGAGCAATCAATTATGAATATAAGAAATTATGAAGATAAAAGATTTATGAATGAACAGTCTCAATTATAAGTGAATTAAACTCAAAGCAATAACTCCCAACTTAACTGAATGAATCATTTCAATTAGATGTATTTTGCAGTTTCATTGTCAATATTTTATATATTTACAGAAACCGAGAAAATGCTAATCATGACAAAAACATTAATAAAAATTCTACAAAATTAAAAGTTTTTTTTAATTTTTTTATTCCACTTATTTCCTACCTTAATTCCCAAAGAAAAGGAAGAATCGCTTAATATTCAATCTTTATATTAAATCCAAATTCATAAAATGATAAAAAAGTTAAATGAAGTTAACGCAATGATTATATTTAAACTTTGAAAAAAATACTGCATATNTCGAAATCCGAACCTCTCAACAGAAAATGGAAAGTCTAAATGCTGCACCACAACTGCAGGTGAGTTACAAAGTTTTTCTTAATTTAAAGGTAAATGAACTGAAACCTTAAAGGGTAATATTTTACCCTTGGGGCATTTCCTTGTAAAACATGCACAATTATGCTACTTAACATGTTTTTTACATGTTATTAACATGCTTTTTACATTAGGCATTTTTGTGGCCATAGTTGTAAAATTATTTTTGAATTATTTGCTTTATACTTTTATCCTATCTTGAAAATAAGTGAATATGAATTATCAATCAAATGTAAAATAGTACTTACAATTAAAGCAAAATATATATACATAAAAAAATAAGAATTCGGAAGTTATAATATGATGCAATTTTTTGTCAATTAAAAATACTTCAGAAAATTGGAGTAACTTATAAACTACATACAAATTGAGCAATCAATTATGAATATAAGAAATTATGAAGATAAAAGATTTATAAATGAACAGTCTCAATTATAAGTGAATTAAACTCAAAGCAATAACTCCCAACTTAACTGAATGAATCATTTCAATTAGATGTATTTTACAGTTTCATTGTCAATATTTTATATATTTACAGAAACCGAGAAAATGCTAATCATGAAAAAAACATTAATAAAAATTCTGTAAAATTAAAAATTTATTTTTAATTCCACTTATTTCCCACCTTAATTCCCAAAAGAAAAGGAAGAATCGCTTAATATTCAATCTTTATATTAAATCCAAATTCATAAAATGATAAAAAAGTTAAATGAAGTTAATGCAATGATTATATTTAAACTTTGAAAAAAATACTGCATATCGATTGGTAACTAAAGCCGTGTACAGAAACAAAAATTGTCTGCAAAAAATTCTGGCTTTCCAAATATCAAAGTGAAAGATAATCCAACAAGAAAAAGTCAAAGGGGAAAATTATGTATTCCCCTTTCACCTTTAAGAATTTACTCATTGGAGCTTTTTGAAAACTACATTGCAAATTTTTTTACCATTTCATAATTATGAGTATATAAATTAAATACATCANCATTAATTTACTTTTTTAGTTTACATGACACATAAACCTTGCTCTAACTTTCTATTTTTATCATTTTAAAGATAAATTTGTGATTGTTCTCATTAAACTAAAGAATAATTAGGTCATTGAATGAGCCTAAAAGCTCAACTTTTAGGCACATTCAATCACCTAATTCCTCTTCTTTCCTCTAAAAAAAGTTCCTCTGCTTAAAATTTTTTAGGACAAATTTGTTGCATGAAAATTTTTTTAAAAAAAGTTCAAAATAATAAGGTATAAAATTTTTAACTTTTCAGTGTTTTATGCAAACTTTATTATAGTTATTTATTTTTATAAACAAAAAAAAATTTCAAACTTGAAATAGTTTTTTATATAATATGTATCGTCACTGAGAAGGAAGATAAATAAGAAAATTTGATAAAGACTACAAAAATTGCAGCAATTACAATTTTACATATTTTATAGTCATTACTTTATATTTATTAAGAGTTTTATCAATTCAAATTTAGCCAAACACTGCATGGGTATAGATGTGGTCATATAAATACCCAGTAAGTATGGTATTTATATATGGGTATTTACCTCTGCCTTGGGGGTAGTACCCTAAATCAAGGCTTTTATAACTTTTCGTCACTTTTAAAATATCCTAACCATCATTTGCCTTGCTTATAGTTCTGGCAATAACATAACATTTTTAATTTCAAAAAATGAACACTAAAGAATATCAATTCCAGGAAAAATAGTTCAAAAAACTATAAATACCAAGCAGAGGAGCTAAATTGTCACAATAAAAAGCAATGTTAAAAGGTATTGTGCAGTATCACAAAGTAGACTTTATGTTAAGTGATTTACGTGAAAATTGAGCGCTTTTCATGAAAAAATCATTTTTTTCGAAGACAATGGCATTAACTGGATAAAATAGAAGAAATTTATATGCATAAGGGATGAGTTTAAAATTTCTTAACTGTGTTCATTTCTATTAATTCTATAAATTTAATATTTATATTAAATGACTAAACTAAAACTGGAAATTTCTTTTGTAAGTTTTTGTAAAAAAAAACAAAAACAATATAACTATTTTATTTAAAATAAATGCTTTTTTTAATGTAATTTTAAAATCAGTTGATATTTTAATGAAATTTT